CCCCCCCAATTTTTTCCCGTCCCCTCTCCTCCCGCCGCCCCCCTTCCCAAAATCGTCCCCAGCCGATCCCAAAATCCCAAACCTGTTTTTAGGGAGAGAGCTGCCGCACGCAGCCAGCGCCGCGCGGCCTCCGGGGGCGGCTCCGGCTGCAGGAAAAGGAAAAAGGGAAAAAAAAAAAAACAACACACACACACAAAAAAAAATCAAACCGGAATTTGGGGTTTTTCTCTCGCTTTTCCCCCTTCCCTCCTCCTCCGCGATTTTTTTGGGGTTTTTTGTTTGTTTGTTTGTTTGTTTGTTTTCCTTTCTCCCTCCCGTTTTGTTTTTTTTTTTTTTTTTCTTTTTTTTCCCGATTTTTTGGGGTTTTTTTTCCCCCCCCTCCGGTTTTCCCTGGAATCCCACGCACCCGATCCCTGGAGCCGGGAATGCGGGACAATACAAAACAGATCCACGCGGAGCGGCCGGGAGCAGCGCGAGCTCCATCCACAGGGCTGGAAGACTCCGGGAATTCCCTCCGGATCCCGGGAATTCCCTCGGATCCCGGAGCAGCGGCCGGAGGGTTTTGGGATGAGGGGAGCCGGGATCTGCGGGTTTCTTGGGAAGGGAATCCGGGATTTATTTCTTGGGAAGAGGAATCCGGGAATTTCTTGGGAAGGAGGATCCGGGATTTGGGGGTTCGGGGTTTTTTTGGGAAGAGGAATCCGGGATCTGCGGGTTTCTTGGGAAGGGGAATCAGGGATTTGGGGATTTATTTCTTGGGAAGGGGGATCCGGGAATTTCTTGGGAAGGCGAATTCAGGGATTTGGGGGTTCCTTCGGAAAGGGAATTCAGGGATTTGGGGGTTACTTGGGAAGGGGAATTCAGGGATTTGGGGGTTTCTTGGGATGGGGGATCCGGAAATTTCTTGGGAAGGGGGAATCCGGGAATTTGGGGATTTCTTGGGAAGAGAAATCCGGGAATTTCTTGGAAAGGGGGATCCCGGATTTGAGGATTTGGGGGTTTCTTGGGAAGGGGAATCCAGGGGATTTGGGGATTTCTCAGGAACGGGAATCCTGGAATTTTGAGGTTTGGGGGTTTAGGAGAGGGAAAACCTTGGCGAGGAGGGAAACGGGGATTTTTTTCCCTAAGGAAAAGCGGAGGTGGGGATTTTACACCAGAATTCCAAAGGCTTCATTCCCAAAAAATAAAGGCGCAGAGCCCAAACGAATCTTGCAAATATTCCCCGAGAAATCCATTTATTGCCTTTATTCCAGAGGTTTTTCCTGCTCCAAAATTAAACGAACGCACTAAAAAGTGGATTTTCCCCAAGAAATAAATGGAAATATTCCCTTTATTCCCGTTTCTTTTTTCGGTTTTGCTCACTCCCTTTATCCCAGGTTGTTTTTGTTTTTTTAACCAGGAGAAAATTCCCTTTCTGGAGAGGAGGGGAATTTGTGGCGATAAATTTGGGATCGTTCACGGAAATTTGGGATCAGTTTGGAATTTTTGGGGATCAGTTTGGAATTTTTGGGGATCAGCTTGGAGCGTTTCCCTGGGCTGGCGCCGCAGCAGCCGATGCTTTTCCAAGGAATGTTGCAATCCCAAGGGATGATGCAATTTCGGGATCGCGGGCCCCGAGCCCATGGAATTCCCATGGAAAACCCTCCCCCAAATCCCAAAAAAACCCAACCCCTTGGAATGGATCCCCCCGAATGAATTCCTTACTCACGGAATTATCCCAGGAGATCCCAGCAGCGCTTCCCAGGGATCGGGGCTGGCTCGGGGGTTATTCCAGGATTTCCTGGGAATGGGCTGGGATCCCTAAAAGCGGGATTTTCCCCCCAAAAGGCGCGGCCGGGATTTATAGGGAGCCGGGAATGCGCGGGACAGGCCGGGACAGGCCGGGAGGAGCCGGTTTTTCCTGGCGATGGAAAAACGGGATTCGCTGCCATTCCCGAGGGAGCGGGAGCGGCTGACCCGGGATAACCCCGCATCCATCGGGATCGGGATCGGGATTTGGGATGGCCTCGGGAATCCCGGGAAGAGGGAGCGGCCCGGGAATGGGGGCCGGGATCGGGAGCAGCCGCGGGATGCGGGGATGGGAAATGTGGGATGGGAAATGTGGGATTTGGATCCGTGGGATTCGGGGATGGGAAATGTGGGATGGGAAATGTGGGATTTGGATCCGTGGGATTCGGGGATGGGAAATGTGGGATGGGAAATGTGGGATTTGGATCCGTGGGATTCGGGGATGCGAAATGTGGGATTTTGGGATGGGAAACGTGGGATTCAGGGGTGGGATCTGTGGGATTCGGGGATGGGAAATGTGGGATTTGGATCTGTGGGATTTGGGGATGGAAAATGTGGGATTTGGGGATGGGATCTTTGGGATTTGGGGATGGGATCCACGGGATTCAGGGGTGGGATCTGTGGGATTCGGGGATGGGGAATGTGGGATTTGGATCTGTGGGATTCAGGGATGGGATCTTTGGGATTCAGGGATGGGAAATCTGGGATTCAGGGATGGGATCCACGCCAGGCCCTTCCCAGGCTCCTTTTCCAGCCCGGCCGCAGCTCCGGAGATTTTCCAGGAATTGCGGAAGCTCCGGGTGACACAAAAACGGGATTTTCCCGGGGATTTCTTTGGGATGGGGCGGATCCAAGGCCGGGCAGGGTTGGCCGGGAATCCGCCGGGAATTCCCTGGGAATTCGCTGGGAATTGCTCTGGAAGGATCAGGGGATGAGCTGGGATTCCGGATCCGCAGAACTCCCGAGCTCCGCCGGGGACTTTGCGGGATTTGGGGCTGGAAAAGCGGGATCAGGGATCCGGGATTTGGGATCAGGATCAGGATCTGGGATCGGAGGTAGATATATATCAATACATATAATCCAATATACCATAAATAAATATAAATATAAATATAAATATAAATATAAATATAAATATAAATATAAATACAAATATAAATACAAATGTAAATATAAATATAAATATAAATGTAAATATAAATACAAATATAAATAAATATAAATATCCAAATAAATATAAATATAAACATCCAGATAAATAAAAATTAAAAATATAAACATAAATATATATATTTATATAAATAAAAGCATAGACATATAAACATAAATATAAACATAAACATAAATACAATTATCAATATATCAATAAATCAATATAAATAAATATAACTCTAGATATAGATATGGATATATAAATAGAAATATAAATATAAACAATAAATATAAAATATATGTATAAATATAAATATCAATATATCAATATATTAATATAAATATAAACTATAAATATAAATATAAATATAAATATAAATATAAATATAAATATAAATAGAAATAGAAATAGAAATAGAAATAGAAATTAGAAATAATAAATAGAAATATAAAATATATATAAAAATAGAAATACAAATATAAATACAAATATAGAAATGTGAATATAACTGTAAATTTTGGGCTAGAAATACAAGAATTGTCACAAACCGCTCATTTCCCACTACAAGAACTTCCAGCCCGGCCCGGCTCGCTGGAAGGGCCCGGCAGCGCTCGGAGCGGGAATTCCATCGGGAATTCCA